ACTTAAAATTGCAAATCAAGCTCACAAGAACACAAGAATAGTGTTGAGATGTACCTTCCCCTCTGATTAGTTGGCATTTACTCAAAATTTTTGCGTCAGCCCTTCTTGCTCAATGAAGTCTGACACTCCCCGCATTGAACCCTTGTCATTGGAGTTCTTTGCGTCATCATGCATCGGCACTTTCTCACGGCAAAGTCCGATGCCCCTCCTTGCTTCCTCCCTTCTAACACGAAGGTTGGAGCTCGCTTCCCACCTTTGAAATGGGTGGTGTCTCCACGGTTGCCTTGTCCCTCAACGTCTTGGCCTCCTTCGACTCTTGTCTACGAGTCTTTGAAGGATTGTTCCTCTCCTGAACATCCTCGGTAAGCCCTTGTCTCGACTCCTTGGACATGGTCAACTCGGTCTGCCCTTGGCCTCTACTTGCTTTGACAGAAATGAACCGTATTGAGCCAAGTCGCAACGCCCCCTCGATCCTTGGTTCGTCCTCTTCTTTGGACAACTCGATCCTGGGCTCATCCGTTACCTTGGATGAATCGGCTCCCCTCGGGTAATCTCGCAACACTGTTGGCACCTCAAGTTTGCGCCCCTTCGCTTGCTCGACACTTACCCTCGGCTTAACATCTTCGGCACTTGAACTTGTGCCATGATTGCGCACATCGCCTCCAGACTCACCGTCTGGTTCATCATTGAGTGGATCTTCTCTACCACTCGAGGAACAACCTTCCTCATCATCCGACTTGCCTTCATTTTGGAATCTCTTGCCGCTACCCTCGGCTTTGGGCTTTGCTTTGGAAGTCTTCTTCTTGACTCCAAATTCTTTGATGGACTCGGCGGTTGTCAAGGCTTTAGACAGCCCCTTGACTTCCCTTCGCTCCAACACTTTCTTTGCCCACGGCTTCAATCCGAACATGAAGGTGAAGAACCCTTCTTCGTCAGTCAAACTTGGGACTTTGAGCATGAGTCTTCTGAATCGAATCACATACTCCTTCAGTGTCCCCTTATACCTGAGGCGCCTCAGCTTGGACCACGCCTCCATCCTGGCATGCTGTGAGTGAACCTGCTCACTTTGTACCCTCGGCTTGATGGCTTTATTACTTGCTATCGCACCGGGTCTTTCCTTGTGCTCGACTGCTTTGACACTCGCAGTCTCGGCACATCTCGATCCTGGGCGAACTACTTGACAGCTTGTAGTCGCTCCACACTTGCCCCTTGATTCGGCTACTTTGGAACATGTAGCCTCGTCAAGTCTTGCCCCTGACTTGATTGCTCGATCATTCGCAATCGCATCTGGCTTCCTTCTCGGCTTGACCGCCCCATCTTCGACAGCCTTGCCTCGTTTTGATCCTTGCTTGGCCGCATTGATCCCATCAATCAGACCAAGTCTTTCCCTTGACTTGGCAGCTTGAACTCTTCTGCCTCCGCCAATGCTTGCTACTCCTCCTTCTCCCATCCTCTCCATGATGGTTGTAAGGCGACGTTTCTCGGGACATCCTCTAATCAAGTGAGGACCATCACAGAAGTAGCACTTGAGCTTTTCCTTGCTCGCCTTCTTCTTTTCCCCGGACTTGGCCTTGCCATTCTTTCCCGATGGCTTTCCTTGGCCGCGAACAGTCGTTGGCTCAACTTGGCCACTCGAAGAGCTTTCTATACCATCTCCCCGCTGCACCATTTCCCGGTCTCCCCCATTGTTGCCACTATTCCTGGGCATGGGCCTGGACGACACATTGCTACTTGGCTTGACATCAGCAAGCTCGGTTAGCGTTCCAGCTACAGCTATGGCTCCCGAAAGTCTCTAGGCATCACCTTGCTCTTCCCTGAGCATCGCCCCTGGTCTAAGTCCTTCCAAGAAGGTCTTGAGCGCACCCCATTCACTCATTGCTCCCTTGCATATGAGTAGCTCCCTCTTGAGCTCATCCACCTCGCTTCTCAAAGCCGCTACCTCGGCTTCTTGGGCATTTCTCCCTCGAACCATCTCCAACTCGTCAAGAACTCGTTGCGTCTCGACCTTGAATCTACCCTCTATGGACTCTAATCGATCAAGGCGGGACTCCACAACGCCCTGGGTCTGCTTGGCCTCATCCTCGGCTTGTTCAAGTCTCCCGACCCTTTGTTCCCACGAAGTTGAGATATGCTCTAGATTAATGAGCTTCTCGGTATGGTCAGCAATAACTTCCATCCAATAAGCCCACTTCTCATTCAACGAGAGTTCTTCTTGTTCCTCATGAAGACTCACCTCGTCTTCATGAGAGAACGTGTCTCGCTCGGACATGCCTTCGGCGTCACCCTTGAGCCTCTCTACCTTGAGAACCGGTTCCCTTTGGTGTGCTATCGTTGCCTCCAGCATTCTTTGTGAACTCGTCACGGCATCCTCATGCTTGGACACCGACGATGCTCTTGAGCCCAACGGACTTTCTTCCCGTTTCCCACCATGGCACTCCTTGCCTTTGCGTGCGGAAACTCATCTTTTCTTGTGCCCCATTCAATAATCAAAGTAAATTGATTGAAAGTAAGTAAAACAAACTTACCCGACTCGCACCTTCCACCAAAACACGGTTGAAACGATCGTTGTTTGCCCACAACGACTCGCTCTGATACCACTTGTCATGCCCCCAGAACTTCGACGCCTCACACCGTTGGAATATCAGAGTCAAGGTCTGACGGGTCGTGCGGCCTTAGACGCTTTAGACGCTCCTCGGTCTTAATCGGCGACTAAGTAAGCCTTACCCAAGCTAAGTGAGTGTGCAAACTCACAAAGGTTGGAACCAAGCCCTCAAGGCTTCGGATTGCGGAAGCTTTAGAATGCCGACAAGGTCGGACTATCGTGTGGAAGTGCTAACACGAAGGTGGCTACTCCTGGCCACCAAGCTAGGCAACAAGAATAAAGAAACTAAAGAACTCAGAAAGAATAGAGCAAATGCCTCAGAGCTTTATTACTCTCTCTCACAAAGAGAAGAATGGAATTGGGTGATTACAAATGAGGAGGAGAGCTCTCTATTTATAGGGGAGCTCCCTCTCAATCGATGGCTAAGATCATTTTACATTAAGGGCTAGGATTGATTCCCACCTAACCCAATCCCTTAAATCAAGGAAATCCCACCTAACATTATCCTTCTAGAATCCTCCAAGGAACGGGCCAGATCTGATGGTTCTGGGCAAGCCCAATAGTCTGTATAATTCTCTTACAGATATCTGCTCACATGTCTCGGTTCGAATCCACGAGCCTCGACAACACTGCCCCCATCTCCCTCGTCGCTCCTCTCGGACGCCTCGGAATAGATCCTTCACGGACTTGTTAAGCATTCTCCAAGAATTGGCTAAGTCTGGTGGTCACGGTAAGTCCGATTCTCAGTATTGAACCTCTTGGTCGGACGCTTACACCAATGTCTCGGACCCAAGTTTCTAGCCCGTGACACTAACAATGACCCTATACTTCTCATTGAGTCTTCTGTTTTCCGCATTATGGAAAGGTCTAATATCATTCTGAGTCCCTGTACTTCTCATGGATTCCACTCCATTGTATATTGCACATCTTTTTTTCTTCGGGATTTATTTTATGAATTGTTTTACATTTTAATAATTTATGAATTTTTATTTTTAAAAGGTCATTTCCACTAAAAATATTTTTTTTGAAAAAAAGTATTATACATAATGCATTCACCTAAAATTGAAGAAGTCATACACATACATTTAATGAGGATGTTAGGGATAGAGATTATATCAAACCAATATAATTTAGAAACTTGCATATGAAATTAGGAGTAAGTATTTAATTAAGTCGAGTTGATTGATCTTATTATAAAAAGTGATTTTTAGTTGTTATCCATCCTACTCTGATAGGTCGATCAAAGTGTAACTTTGGATGCCATATGTCGTATGTTGTTGTAAGGTATGATATATTAATGTTGATCCCCATCAGTTATTTAAAGAATGAAAATTTTCATTATCGTTATTGTCGTTATTAGTGAATTTTCTTCGTAATTATCTTTCTCTTCTTTTTCCCTTATTTTTCTTACAATTTCATGTAAAAAGTGATAACAATGTGCTTTGTAGGTCAATAAAAGATTTTATTAGGATAACTGTCGTTGTAGCCGTTGATAGCTTTTGTCAACCATAACTAATGAAGAAATCCTAAATCATATGAGTTAGTCAATCAATCCAATTGTTCCAACCCCTTACCATAAGCGTGCTCTATCTATTAAGTTTCTTTACTCATAAACTCAATTCTTATAAGTGATTTAACTGTATCAAAAATAAATTGAATGATGAACTAAATCAGACTAAACCAATCTAAACTGAATTTAACTCGTTAATATGACTTGTTTGATCAACTAATTGTTCGATTGATTGTTAGCTTTGATCATAGTTGACTTTAATTTATGATCTAAACTTTTACTTTATGTTTTGTGTCGGATCTAGGGATTTTGATTTTACAATTTGTTTTTTCAATTCTAATTCAAAATCTTTATTTTACGTTTTACATTACTCTGAATTATATTTATGTCATATATATAATCTGAAAGTAAAGGATTTATATATTGATTTTATATTATGAAAGTGATCACATATCTCCACTCTAATATATCAAGACTACTTTCATTCTAAATTGATATAAATGAGTTGGATCTATTACATTTCAACTCAAATAGATATTTTATTATTTTAAAAAAAAATTATAATTTGATTTATGTTAATATTTATATTTTTTTTCTTCTCGGTTTTAAGGTTAATTTTGATGGATGGGTATTCCAGCAGAGATTTTCTGCATATAAGGACTCGAACTTAAAATATGTTTAAGCAATATCAAACTGTTTATCACTTAAATCTATTCCGTTGATAAATAAATATTTATATAACTAATAATTTATTTAAATAAAATTGATATTTTATTTAGTTATCAATAAAATTTAAATTTAAACCGAATCGAACCCATTCATAACTTTTCCAAACCGAACCGTTCCAAGAGAAAATTAAGAACAAATTTCATAATTAGAAGGCTGAGAACACTTGTTGGACATTGTAGAAAAAGCCAACTTTAAGCCCAGTAAATAGACTTTCCCACCGGTTGAGCCAGCCAGGCAGGCACCGGGCACTCATCAACACCAAAACCCCTTGCCCTCTGCCTCAATACTTCGATTTCAACATTGGGAATTTGTTCCAGGTTTGATCCATCGAATCCTCTTCTGTTCTTTATGTTTCTTGGTAAAGCTGATATGATTTCTTTGTGTTTCTTGTAAAAGGGTATACCAAAATCTCATTATATATTTATTTTCTTGTCAATTGGGTATGCTTTTGTTAATAGCGTATATTGAACTAGTTTGTTGAATAATCTTGTTGGAATAGAACAAATAGTTGATAATCACTAGGTTGATGCACTGAAACCCAAGTTTGTAATTGCAACAAAAAGGGTGTTCTTGTTTTACCCTTTTTATCATTTGAAGTAATTTGGGAGTTCTAGAGGAAACCCATATTTTGTTTTTCTTGAAATATATTATGTGAAATCAAGAATCCAGATGGACTATGATTTTTAAGTTAAATCAAAACACGGCTTTTTTTATGTGTTTGAGTGGAGGCAACAAGATTTCTTTATGAGATTGGATGTCTGATAATGAAACTTTGCAGATGTCTCCTAAATGTGATAACATTTCACAGAGTGGATCTAAAGAAGCTGAGGATTCATGCCTTCCTTTACAATAACTGGGTCTCAGCAGTCATCTGTCAGTTTAATGTTTGAAAGTCCTATGCCGACTCTGGTTTACAGTAGGAGGAAGAAACGGCGTGGAAACAGCACCAGTGGCAGTGCTGTTGTTGCCAACTTTTGTGCACAGGAGCCTGTGAATTCTAGAAGAAGCGGGGATTGTCTTTATGTTGTCAGTTCTGATGCTCTTTCAGAGGCAATTGTGGAGCAGAAGGGAATTTCTCGAGATGAACATGAAGCCGCAACTGTTAGAGCTCCCATGGAAACTCTTGATTGCAGTGGAGGGCCTCACATTTCAAAGTGTGAATTTGTTGCTAATGGAAGTTCTGGTGTGTATGACCACAGTTCTGATGATGTACATAAAACTGTTGTGCAGAAAGAACTAGATGTTGACAGTATAAATGATAGTTGCTCATCATCAAAGTCAAATATGGAGCTTGCCTTAGTTACTCTGAAAGATGAGATGGCTGAAAATGGTGAGTGCTCCTCCTCTTGTGTGATAGCTGCTGATGTTGTGAGGGAAGATCTATCTGAAAAAGATGTGTGCCATCGTATTATTCATAGCCAGGGGAATGATGATGACACTGGGCCTTCAAGGAATTGTATCAACGAGGAAACTAGGACTACTGGTGGCGGTAGTAGTTGTTCTAGGTTGTGCAAATCTTGTAGTCGTTCAGGAACTGTTCAAAAGATGCTAATATGTGATAGTTGTGAAGAAGCATTCCACATACGTTGCTGCACTCCCAGGATAAAGAAACTACCGATTGATGACTGGTATTGTTATTCGTGTATGAAAAATAAGCGAATAATGCTCAAGGAGGCAACTGCAAGCAAGGCTTCAAGTATCACTGGTGGAATGGGTAGATGCAGAGATGTATCACCTGAAGGGGAATTCAGTCAAATAGAATTAACGTTGAGAGATACTGAACCTTATCGAACCCGCGTACGGATTGGAAAAGGCTATCAAGCAGAAGTTCCTGACTGGTCTGGTCCAATTGATAAGTATGTTCCATAAACTATTATTTTTATATTAATTCTATTTGGAATGCATATGTTTCGAGGTTTTCTATGCCAAATCATAAGCACTTTTGATTTCCATGCAAGTATTGATTTTTTGGAAAAAAAAGTCTCGGGTAACATCAATAATCATTGCAGGGTTATGTTCCTGACCTTGTTTGTGATCAATATTTATGCCATGATATTGTATATTGCCCCAAGATTAAATTTTCTGATTCATTTGTTGGGGAAATTCTGAGTTGGATACTTTAAAGCACTAAATGAAGGTTTGGCTGTGTAGGGGTGTTTTGAAAGAAGGGAAAGGGAGTTTTGGGGTGTGTGTGTGTGGGGGGGTATTACTATTGTGAATGCTAGATTAATGCAATTAACTCCACATTTCCTCGGATATGGATTTTGATTCATCATTGGTTGCCTATAGTCTACTCAAGTGATTGATTGATTAGTGACAAAGCCAATGTTTAATTTATTGAAATTTTATTTACCTATGCTGATAGCAATCTTTCTTATTTGTTTCATGTTACTTTTTCCTCATATAAATTTCATTTAGTTTACTTCATTTCACATTAGAAACCATAAAAGATAGAAAAGGTTAAATGCTATCATATGACTTCTTGCTTCGCAAGTGTTGGAGTTCATAAATAGTTTGTATTATGATGCAGTGATGTTGATACAATTGGTGAACCACTAAATTTGGATCCTTCAGAATATACTGATTTCCATGTAAGGCTTCAATTTTTCTTTTTTCTCGGTTTGCATTTCCATTTTGCAGATATGTGACTTTTCTTGTGGAAAATTGGCTCATTTTTCTTCATAGGAAATGAATTGCTACAAGTTAAATAAATTGAGCTTAATAGGGAACTGGCTTCAATGTAGAGGGTTGGTAGAAGGTGTGGGCAACAATAATGGAACCGTCTGTGGAAAATGGCGCAGGTATAGCTTGGTTGCATTGATATTTTACTTTCTTGTTATTTATGTTGGCACAAGTTGGTATTTGCTAACAATTCATAACGTTTTTGTCTAGGCAATAATAACCAGTTTACTTTTGATCGACTTCGATGAATTATTGTTGAAACTTGAAGTGATCAATTTGTTATGTCCAAAACTCGAATGTTGACCTTGGGTAATCATATCCTCAAGTAAATATATTAGATAATGATGAATATTGGTATATGATATCCTCTAGTAAGTAGTTACTTAACCTGCTTTTTCATTATCTTATGTTAATGGTTAGAAAATAACACTCTTTCTCATAGTAAAAATTTGAAAATTGATGAGATGGAAGTACATCATATCACTTTTCTTATCAGCGGATATTGAGGATAAAGATGATTTCATTGTCCTCTAGAACTCAATGAATTCAGTACCGACTTAAGTACTGAGCATTGCTTAGATGGGTCATGGAGGTCTGTTACCTGGTTGCTAGGGACTTAACATGCACATATTTTGTTGTTTTGGTTTTTGTGTTTCTCATGAAAGATGCTTAGTTTTTAAAGCTCTTTCTTTTATAGGGCTCCACTTTTTGAAGTCCAAACTGATAGTTGGGAGTGCTTCTGCTCTTTCCAGTGGGATCCATTACATGCTGATTGTTCCGTACCTCAGGTGGTAACCCTTTAACAACTTTAATTTTTTTTTTATGTTATTGTTTTCAGATTTCAACCTTCAGCTTCAGGTTTTGGTTTTTGGCGTTTTAAATAAATTAACTTGGAATTTTGTAATACTAGGGAATCTCTTCTTGGATCAGTTATCATTTTAGAATTTTAATTTTGTTTTTCTCAAACTGAAGACCAGTCCAGGTCTCATGTCAATATGTTTCATTTGGAAGCTCAAAATTAAAGGTGGATCATATTTCATGCGTCATCAACTTGTAATTATTTTTTTATAAGAATTGGAGGTCTTGTTAAAAATTCCCCTTCATAATTGCTAAAACACCAAGGGGTATTCTAGCAAAAAGCGGAAGGGGAAAAAGAGTACCTCAAGTTTTATTGAATAATAAAAAACAGTAAAAGAAGCTTAGTACAACAGATTACCTATCCCCATGTATAAAAACTTTATGACCCTTCATCAGCATCTCCCCCAACCCCAAAAAGACCTCTCTATCAACCAATTCTTGATGAATGCAAGTTTTTTCATAGATTTCGATTGGAGACTCAAATTTAGGCCATGCCATCCATAGAAGTGGATAGAATCTTGGTTATTGTCCGTTAATCTGCCCAAAACAAAACCTGCAATTCATGTAATAGAACAAGAAGTTAGTCCCATTTTAAGGTTTTACAGCAAATTGTCAATAAGCGCTTCTGTCATCCCGTCTTCTTATCAGACTGCTAGAATCCCTGGAATAGGAACTGCAACTAGGTGATGTCCTATATATTTTCTCTGCTGTTGTATTATAAAAATGCCAGTTTTATTTTATTTAAGTGATATAAGATAAATTCAGTTTTAGACAGCAATAAAAATGCTACAAACACTAGAGCAAGCAAGTAAATTTCTCTTGAAATATTTTATTCAGTTTTAGGTTATAATTGTTTCTAGTATGAATGTGTTTATCCTCTAATTGAACTTGTTGCTGCATTTATTCGATCAGGAGCTGGAAACAAATGAGGTTTTGAAGCAACTCGAATATGTTAAGATGGTATGCAGTATGCATTGATGCACTCATTAATTATGTTCCCATTACTGGTTTCAATTTTTTGTGTTTTATCTTTCTATTTCAAATAATGCATGGAAGATAGGGTTAAACAAGCCTATGAGGCATTATACGTATAAAAATAACTTAAGTTTGAGATGTTGTGTATTTCCATATAAAAATAGCTTCTACACTTAACAGTATACCTGTTCTAAAGCTCTCCAAACCCTCTGGTCTTATATTTGTTTTAGTTTCTTTAAGGTGTTGTTAATACTGCTATTTCACATTCTTTGCAGTTAAGACCTCAACTATTAGCTGAACGGCAAAAATCAGATCAGACCAACAATCGCACTTCGCAAGACCTTAAAGATACGAGAAATAGACAGAGCTAGGCTGCACGCGGCAGTGGTAATTTCCTGGAGTATCTATATAGCTTGCCTTGAAAAGATCTTGTATATCAGAAATTCCTTACAATTCCAAAGGTCTTGATTTTGCAACTAGGTATCTTACAATTCCAAAGGTCTCGATTTTGCAACTAGGTATCTTCCATACCGGTTACTTGCATTCTATTGTACTATATTGGAGAGAAATCATCTAGTATGAATGAGTATTATGCATTGCTTTCATGTCCTCCGTTGTCTTGTATTTGCTTTGGCTTGCCTGTAAATTCTTGCATTTGTCCAAAACTTTTATTACACACGTCCATGGTTGTAAAATCCAGAAAATTAGTAAGAAACCAGTAAAATCCGGCCAAATATGCCGCCGGCTTACCTTTTGTTTGGGGTAAAAAAGAGATTGTAATCCGCAGATGAGAGGAGAGGTTGCAGATTCTAGCATTTGAATATCTTGAACTTTTATATATACATATTGAGATTTGTTCATTTGTTTAAGATAATTGCATTGTTAGAATTGGAGATATGCATGCATATGAATGATGATCAATTACTCACATTTATGGGAATTATATTTATGCTTAAGTCCTAGGTGCTAACCAGTGGAAATTACACCATTCTCATTGAAATTGAGAAAAAACATTAATTGCTCTACACGTATACAAGGCGGTTGCACCAAGATCATATTTTTTTTCTACAACTAACCTTTTTTTTATTGTTTTTCTCATTGAAATTTATGGGAATTATATGTATGCTAAAGTCCCTGAATTTGGCATTTTTTCCAATTTAATCGTTGAACTTTTTCTGGGTTAGTCCTTGAACTTAGGGGTTTTTTTTATCCAATCTTAGAGAATCACATTATCAAAAGGACAAAAAATTGAAAAAGTTAAGTTTAGGACTAAAAGTTGGTTTATCCCTTGCTATTACTTTTTTTTTCGGGTGATTTTTATGGGTTTTGCTCTCCATTTCGATACAATCCTTATCCACTTCTTTGGCTTCCCTTTCATACACATATTTACTTGATGTCCAGAGAAATGCTCCTGAATTAAGGGTTGATATGACCAAAAGGAACCCATAATAATAATAATCCAAGTGAGAGTCATTCAATTTGTCACCAATCCAGCTCTTATTCTCACCTCTTCCTGTAGTTTTATCCACCGTTGTCACCAAAAAGCCGTTAAAGAAGTTCCCAAGCTTTACATGTCTTCTGGTCACTGATCATAGAATAATTCCAGCAATCTGACAGCATTGAACACGTTGGTTATCACGAGCAAAACATATTGCGGCAGTAGCCAGAATATGTTCATGTGAACAATTTGTTTCGGCCCTGTGGTTTGATGCACTCTTATGACTTGCATTCTCTGAACTTCCACGATGTACGCAATGATGATCACGACAATCTGCATGATGAATCCAATGCCGAGTCTTTGAAGGAGCGTGATTCCCATTGGATTTCCTGTTTTCCGTCGCATGAACGACACGCGGTAGCGGTTGCACATCGGCTGGGTGATTAGCATGGATAGCGTCACGAAGCTACCTAATGAAGCTGCCGGGATTTGAAAGCTAGAACCCAAGCTCCTGTCCATGGTGGTTCCTTGTTTCACAAACAATGTGTTTATTTGAGCCCAAATGGTTCTTGGAACCAAGAGCGAGCTTTGTTCCTTCCACTTGAGTCACAGTGCAAGGTGGTTTACAACAATAATAATCATTGATTTCGATTTCTTTTCGTCGTGGACACTGTGCATTATTTTCGCAACCACGATAAATTCAGTTCAACAGAAAGACTTATACGGGGGACTGGATTTAAAATCATCTTCCCCACCAGGAGATTTCCTAGTCATGCACATGCATTATTAGATCCAGGGCACCCAAAAAAAAGTATTTAAAGCAGTCTGGCGCATTTGTACGGTCTCTGATAAACCAATGCACTTATTAATTCCATTCCACAGTGATTGTAATTCCATTTTTTTTCAAGCCTTTTTGTTTATGAGTATTATTAAAAACAGTCGGAAAATTAGAATATTATTTTATTGAATCTCTCAACTATTAAAATTTACTAAATGATCTCATGATTATAAGGCATTGTTTGTTAAGCTTTTCGTTTACTAATTTTACAAAATGATCGTTTGACTATTCATATGTTCTAAAATCGTCATTTTTCGTTAAAAAATTATGGTTGTCTTAGGTGGATGTTAACCTACTGACTATATATATGATAAAATCATATTTTTAATGATGTCTATTGTACCGTCGTTTTTTTCAAGTATTAACTCAATGACATAATGTTTCAAGCACTAGTCGATGATATAATATAAATGGAGAGTTGATCTACGAAATACAGTTCAAACAGTTATAGAATAAGATTTTATCATATCCTAGTCAATATGTTAACATTCAACTTAAACTATAGTTAATTTTTTTAATAGAAAAGAACAATTTTGGAACATATGAATAACCAGATGATCATTTTGTAACTTTTAATAGTTGAATGACTCAACAAAACATTACCTTATAATTAAATAATCATTTTATAAATTTGAATAATAAAAAATTCAACAAAACAATACCATGTAATCGGAGAAAAATTATATACTTTAGCCAAAAATTAAGAAAATAATAATGAAATAATACTAAATTCGAGTCCCTCAAATTTTTTTGAGTATACTTGACTTAGAGCATCTCCAATGTTGCGCTACAATTGGAGAATATCTCCACTGTGGAGAAAAAAATCCTCCAGCCCATCGCTAAAATCATCTCCACTTTGGAGAATCGCTACAGTCCGAGCCATATCTGGTGCGGTACTGTAACATGCGCTACAATTTCTTCCTTTTTTTATTGATTTTTTTTTAAATTCAATTAGATTAAATTACAAGATAGATAAAAATACATTGAAATTAGATATATAAACATACTATTTTTTTTTGTAATTTTTGTAATTTTTTGTAATGTTTTTGTTTTTTTTTTAAATTCAAGTAGATTAATTTGCAAGATATATAAAAATACATTGAAATTAGAGGATGAACGAGATCTTAATTCTTCAATTGTAGAAGAAAGAGATGTGTCGCATCCGAATGTCGAATTTATTGAAGATGAGGAGACTCAATTTCAAGAATTCCTTACTCGATTTAGACAAATAAAAAATGCAACTGTTCATTTTGTCTTACGAAATACATTAATTGAGTATTTGTGGAATGAATATTTTAATTCCGAGAACTAAAATATATAATTATGTAATTTTTTCGCATTATTATTATAAAATGTAATTTTCTTATTTATTTGTATTTTCGCAATATTATATATGGATGTTTTATTTATGTTTTTAATTTTGATATTTATTAGAAATCTATATGTTTTATTTTATATTTATAAAATTAATATTATAATAGTTAAATATTGTGAATAAAATAAAGTTGATGGTAATGTAGAGATAATGATAGAGATGAATTATTATTTTATCTTGAGAGTAGAGATATAAATACTATAAAATAGAGACGAGGACTAACTTAATACCCTTAAATCCTAGGAATAAAAGAAAATCCTCGACCCCAACCATTATCATTTTCGAAGCTTTTTAAATTTTTATACTTTTATCCCGATCCTCCATATAAAATTTCTTTCACTTCCACTCTACTAGCGAAATCCTTCCAAAAATTGAGTGCGGATATTGGGCTTCTTCTTAGATTGGATCATTCATTGGGTTCAAAAACACTACTCTGTGGAGGATGGAGTTGCAATCTCCTTCAACCGTCGAAACTTTCCTCATTCTTCATTGAAGTGAAGAAAAACAAGCTGAAAGGGCAAGGAAGTGGAGTTTTGGCCCAACAACTCTTCTATTTTTCTCCGATTTTTATGTGAAACTGAGGTATACATACGTAAATACATATGTATATTCAAGCTTTTGAATGGTAATATTGTGTGGGGTATACGGGCAGTAGCCTGCTGTAATTTCGACTAGCGTTTTTTACTCGTAAAAGTAGCTTAGTCGAATAAAATCTGCGAGGTATTCGACAGAATTTCTTTGTCTTTTAGCTATAGTTATGTACTTGGCTTATGGTGTCTATTTTCCTAAATTAACTTCCTTGAGTTGATTTAAGGTCAAAAGTCGAGGACTTTGGTTGATTGTATTCACAATTTTGGCTCCAAGGCGACTACCTACGCTTCATAGAAATACAATACGGAGACTGAGAGGGGCGCATGAACCATTTGTACTATCGGTTTCTTTCATAACTTAACTGATATTATCCGTTTCCTCGATGAAGTTTGTAAGTTCCATGCTTTCCCTCATTTTTGGTTAGTAGGGATTGGTTGCAATTCGGAAGGACTGTTATTTTATACATTGATGAAGTTTAGAAAACATTTCGCAAATGGGTTTTCTCAGATTTAAAAGTATACTTTTTAAGTTTTAATGATAGTTAAGCAAGTTGGTAATAAGTTATTAAGATTTACGTTTGATTGATTGATTCTAGCCTTTGTTAAATGAAATCTTAATTAGTTAACCAATGGAACTTTTTGTTTGCTATTGGAAGCAACAAAGCAAGTGGAAAGTAACAATGAAAGGGTACTTAAACTTAACATTTTTAGCTAAATGAATGTGCAACAACTATGTAGGTTCGTTTGTTAAGTTTTTAAACTTCATTTGGTGTATGAGAAAATTATTCTTTTATGCACCTTGTGTGCATGCATGTCTGTTCGTATATATCTTTGTTTTTGCTTTTTATTCTGATTTAGGGGAATTTATTGAGGTTGTGCATTTGCAGACATGCCTTAGTAAAGGAGGTGGTTTCCATTTCCCACCTTGTCATATGCTCAACGTATCCGGGTTTAGGATCTTACTTGATTGCCCCTTGGACCTTTCATCTCTTGCTATTTTCAGTCCTGTTCCAGTTGCTTTAGAGGCTCATGAGTCTTTGGATTCAGATTCGGTTGTTAGAAAAAAGCAGAAGATTGAAAAAACTCTTGATGCAAATGACTTGGTATGTGCAGAGCCTTGGTATAAAACTGTAAAAAATTTGCATCTATGGGACGCTTCCTTCATTGATGTTGTATTGATCTCAAGTCCTATGGGAATGCTTGGCTTGCCATTTCTTACTCTATCTAAAGACTTTTCTGCAAAGGTAACTAGAGTTTGGAAAATGTTTCATTTTTTTAAACATGAAAATTAAATGGTGATGCTTGTTAGCCTTAGCTGACAATTGTTTCTGTGCTTTGATTTTTACCCTGGTTAGATATATGTGAGTGAAGCAACAGCGAGAATAGGGCAGCTTATGATGGAGGATCTTGTTTCAATGCATATGGAATTGAGGCGATTTTATGGACCTGAGGATACTTGCTTCCCTCAGTGGATGAAATGGGAAAATCTTGAAGTTCTTCCTTCTGAATTGAAGAAAATAGTATCAGGAAAAGATTGTGAGGAGCTGGGAGCTTGGATGCGTTTATACAGGTAATTATCATTCCTTGGATCATATGTAACCTAAAAACTGCTTTTAGAATATGCTAACAAAGCCTTTTAATTTTTTTTTATGAAATCCATCAGTTTTGCATCTTTAAAATCCATTTCTGTCCAGAATTTTCTCTTTACAGCAACTTGAATGTAGATTTTTTTTTGATAGGAATTGGAGACCTCATTAAAAACCTCCCTCTTAGTGGTTCTTTACCCTATGGTAAGAACCAACTAGCGGAAGGAGGAAAAGAGTGTCTCAATATATTGAATTCAAACGAAGTACATAAGCCTAAAAAGAACTCCTGAGAGTTACAAAAAACTTAAACAGACACTATTTAAACCTTACTGCTAAACACCCAAACCCACTGAAACACATATAACCATCAGCCAATCCCCTCCTTAGCTAATTTATCAGCCTCGCAATTACAGCTTCTAGGAATCCACCTCACAATAATAGCATGCCTAGAAACAATAGACACTAAGTCCTGAACAAAATTAAAAAGAAAAGTAGGAATTGTGGCTTGATCATGAATCCAATCCACTGCTTGCTTACTGTCACTTTCCACAATGAGTCTTCCCTTCGACACCCAATCTGAGGCGACAAAGATTTCAATGCCTCTTTTGATAGCTTTCAATTCTGTTAGAATGATAGGATTATGACCAACCTTTTGTGAAAAGGAAATAAGCTCAGATCGATTCCAATCACGCAGAATACCCCCAATTCCAACAATCATACCTGTTCTACTAACAACTCCATCCACATTCATCTTATAAAAATCAATAGGAGTAGGAGTCCAACATACCTTAGGCCTATTCAAATCCATGAATGCCGAAAGATTATCTGCCAGTGAAGGATCACCAATCAAAGAATCCACCTGAGTAGAGATATTCGAATACTTTGCTAGGAACCATTTTGCTAGTCTGAACCGAACAGTGAAGAACAAAATGAGTCTGCCCAGTTTTCCTTTACCAAAAATTATTTCATTTCTGATTTTCCAAATTGACCATAAGACTGCCCCAGGAATAAACTTCCACATAGTTGAATATGGCTTTAAATCAGACCAAGAGCTTAGAAGGGACTGTGGATCACCGGGTTTAGCTGACAGAATACCCCAAAAGCCTATTACTTTGTTCCATAAATCCCACGAAACCTGGCAAACAATAAAAAGATGCTGAACAGTTTCTTCACATCGATTACATAGAGGGCAAAGAATATCATCCCCAATAGGAACCCCCCTTTTCTTCAATTCCACTTTCACGACAACTTTTTTATGGGAGACTTGCCAAAGGAATGCCTCGACCCTAGGAGGGACTAAGCCCATCCAGACACATTTATTCCACTAAAAAGAATCATCATTATAAGATGATAGAGACTTCCTGCACGCCTTTACCGAGAACAACCCCTCACATGCATCGTCCCATAGCAAACAATCCTCCACTGAATCAAACAATTTAATGTCTTTAAGTAATTCCAGTAGCTCTACCAACTGATCCACCTCCCAATCGCATAGATTCCTCCTAGTCTTAATATTCCACTCCCATCCATTCGAATCAAAACTACCAAAATCTGCAACATTTCCCATTTTGTTTGATGATAAGGCATAAATCCTATGAAAAAGGAGTTTTAAAGGTAAATCCCCTAACCAAACATCATTCCAAAAGGAGATCGAAATACCATTTCCTACTTGTAGCTTTGCGTGTGATCTAAGGCAACCTCCAATAAAATCATCTTTGGTGTAGTTATTCACAATTCCCCTCCAAATCCAAGAGTCCTTGGGAGAAAGGACCTTGGTAATATCCATAGAGTGGCAGCTAACATTGTGTTTGCTACAAAAAAACATCTTCCACATCGAATGCTTCTCATTAGCATACTTCCAAACCCACTTTCCCAACAAAGCTCGATTAGTAAGATTCAAATCAGCAACTCCCATGCCTCCACCACTAATCGGATTACAAATCTTGTTCCCAATGCAATTTCTTCTTCTCATTCCCTCCACCCCATAAAAAACTGCCATCATAGAATTTAGCTTCTGACAAATCGAAGAAGGCATCTTGAACATAGAAAGATAGAAGATAGGTAAGGAAGACAATACTGATTTGATAAGAACCAATCTACCAACCAATGACAAAGAAGAGGCTTTCCACCCTGCCAATTTTTTATTAAAATTCTCGATTACAGGCTCCCACAATCTCACGCAATTCCTTGTAGCCCCCAACGGTAGGCCTAAATAGACCGACGGAAAGGAACCAGTAGAGCAGCCAATAGCCGAAGCCCAATCTCCCAGAATATCATCATCCACATTAATACCATAAAGTTTACTTTTAGCTAAATTAAGGTGAAGCCCCGTTATTAAGCTAAAGATACTCAAAACTCTTCTAACATTCATAATTTGGGTAATGGAAGCATGACAAAAAATAATTAAGTCATCCGCAAACTGAAGGTGAGACAGTGAAATTGTTATGATTCCTGCCAAAAGAGAACCCTTGGAATAGGCCTAAGTCCTCGGCTTTCGATAACATCATATGAAGTAATTCACCAACCACATTAAAGAGAAGAAGAGAAAGACTACAACCTTGTCTCAATCCTTTAGCAATAGGAAACTCTTCTGTAGGTGACCCATTAACTAAAACCGAAATTGAAGCGGTAGAAATACACTGTGAAATCCAAGAACACCACCTATCACCAAAGCCCATATCTTTCATAAGCTTTAAAAGAATCTGCCAGTCTACAGAATCGTACGCTCTACTGAAATCCACTTTAAAAACAGCCCCCCCGGAATAAAAGCAAACTGAGTGGGGCTTATAATATCATCAATACAGGAAGTAAGTCTCTTTGAAAGAACTTTTGGAAGAATTTTATACAAGCTGCCCACAAGACTGATAGGCCTATTGTCTTCAATACTCTCTGGATTACATTTCTTTGGAATCAAGGTAATAAATGCATGATTCACCCCATGAGCCCATCTCTTCCCTTTAAAGAAATCTGTAAAAAACAACATGATCTGCTCATTCAAATCCTTCCAATATTTCTTATAGAAACCCATTGTAAAACCATCCGGACCGGGAGCTTTTGAACTTTCAGAGGTTGAGATAGCTTGCCAAACTTCTTACTCAGAAAACTCTACTTCAAGATACTCCCTTTGAGCAACTGACAGTTGTTTAAAATCAAAATTAAAACCATCAGTTTCCAAAGTTGATCTCTCATTATAGGCATTCTTGAATAAATTGAGCACACATGCTTTTATCTCTTCTGGATCCTTAGTGATACCACCTTCAGATTTCAATGAATGGATAGTATTAAATCTGCTCCTCTTCACAGCAGAAAGATGAAAAAACCTTGTATTTCTATCTCCATCTTTAATCCATCTATTTCTGGACTTTTGACACCAAATACTTTTCGATTCTCAGCAGCCTCCATAATTCCTTCCGAGATTCTATCAGTTGGTCCCACTAACCTGAAGACAAAAAACCAGCTTGCAACTTTTTGTCCAATTCATTGATTTTGAATTCCAGCTACGAAATTGAATCTGCCAGCCCTTTTGTGACTATTTCCAGACCAATTTTTTATTTTAGTTTTAGCAGCCTGCAGCATCGTAAAAATGCCCCCATTATTCCTTTTCTTCTTCCCGACTGCCAATGATTCTTTAACCAACTCATCGAAGCCTTGTTCTTCCAAAAGAAAGTTGAAGAACCTAAAGTTTAGGTCCCCAATTGATAGAAATATCCTCCAACAAGATAGGATTGTGGTCTGAAATTGATTTCGGTAGTAGGCATTGTGCAACATTAGGAAAACTGTTAAGGAATCTGGCACAAATTAGGAACCGATCTAATCTAACCCAAGTTGAAAATTCTCTATTGCTACACCATGTGAAAGTTCCTCCTGACATAGGCAAATCAATAAGGTTAGCATATTGCACAAATGATCTAAGAACATCAATGGAGTGCCAATTTTGTGATTTCCTTTGCTTTTCTTCCGGTTCAAGATACGCATTGAAATCTCCCCCAATACAAACTGGTAGATCCAGAGAAATAACAAAATCCAGCAACTCCCCATAGAACTCCTCCTTTTCAGCTTCTAAAGGAAGTCCGTACACATTTATAAATGCAAACTCCATTTGACCATTAATGAATTTCCCCATTAAAGCCAGAAACCTACTATGAACGTGTTGACCTGTGACTTGAAAAACACTTTCATTCCACAAACTAATCAACCCCCCCGATGATCCTTGAGCTGGAGACACCAATACTCCCTTGAGCAAATTACTTCCTAACCTCCTTGTAATCACCAAAGGGCATTGTTCTAGCTTCGACTCTTGAATGAAAAGAAAAATTGGTTTTATTTTCTTTACTTGCATTGCAACTGCTACGGACTTCTCACCTTTCCCTAGACCCCTTATGTTCCACGAAAGAATACTAATTTTATGCATATAAAAGATTCACCCCAAACACCAAAAGACCAAACATGCAAACAACCTAAACTGACCAACAATCAACCTTCCATTACTACCTCTGAACCTTTCTCAAGACTTAAAATCTTTTCAATAAAAGCCTCTTTCCCATCCTTAAATGAAATACCTAACAATTGACAAACTTCCCAAGTAGCCAAAGCTTCCTCCAGCACCTTCGAAAAAAGGATAGGAGAAACAGTTGTAATGTTGACCACCTCCAATGCATCAGAGATTAAAGCTCTTTTGTTAATTCTTAGATTTTTAAGACTCCATGAAGTTGTAATTGAAGCTGCTGCCTCACTCTCAGTACATTTGCTACGAATTGGTGGGACCGAAGAAGAACTCTGAAGATTGACAGAACAAATAAGATCCTTATCCTGCTCACATCCATCAATACTTGAAGGAAGTTGCTGACTAAAACTAACTTCAGTAGTATTCTGTTTCAGCTTGAAAATACTGTCTGAACCAGAATTTTCTTCTTCAATATTCAGACAAAACCAGAACCTTGTAGCTCTTGACCTTTTGTATACTCGAACAATTCCTGCCCTTCCCCTCCTTCCATTAGGAGCATTCCTTATTGACAGACCAGTAGAGACAGGGAAACCCAGATTCAATCGCTTAGACCTCTTCACAGTGAATTCACTAGTTTCATCCTGAATCAGATTCCCTCCTACTAGCTTACCGGAATCATTAACCTCAACATCCTAAACTCCTTCAATATTTTCCTCAATTAAATTGCATCTTTCATCTCCATTTAAATCCAAAAGAGTCTGAACCTTGCTTTGATTTTCTAGCCCATCCCAATTTACTTTTACAGCAGACCCAGCAGGAGTAATTTTTGTAACTGGGGAATATGACTCCCAGTTAGAGTCAGAATGGGCTAAAAGACTCTGGTCCATAACCTCTCTTAGCCCAAGACCCGCATGCTCCCTGTTAGAATTTAATTCAAATTCAAAATTGCCTGACACCCCATTAAAATTGGTTTGCGAGTTTGACTTTAATTCCAGAGATTGTTCCCCACTATCTTCTTTTAGCCCACTTTCTTAACTTTTGTGTAACCACGTGACCACCTTTGACCAAACTCCCTCAGCTGATCTCCCATGAGCGTCTTCTTCCTTCTCTGCACCTACTCCATCACCCTCCTTCGAAAAATCGATATTGTAGGTATCATCAGAAAAATTCTGCAGCTCATCTCCATTTACATAAGAACTTGCTTTACACTTTGAGGCCAAATTAATTTTAACTTTAAAGGATCTACCATAAGAACCTACAATGACAGATTCATGAACATCAAAAGGACTTGCTACCCTTAGCAGCACTCTTGCCGAAGAAAGATCCACTCTTAATCTTGTCTCCTCCGGGATGCTTACAACCTTACCCCACGCTCCTGCAAGTTTCTCCAAAAACGATTCATTCCAGCTTAACAGTGGTAATCCAACCAGCTCCACTAAGCATAATGCCAGAGGAACACCATCTTCATTCACCAACGGAGCTAACCAATCGAACCATAAGTCAAACTTCTCTCGATAGTTCGACCACGCCTTTAAAAAATCTTCATTTGAATTGAACACAATAATACTTGCATTCCTAACGAATCCCCACCCAACTATTTTTACCTCGAATCCCTCCTTAGCCATAGCTTTCGTCACTGCCTGGGGCTGAAGGTGATATTTAATGACTCCTGATCACCCAACATGAATCTTGTAATGGGATGTACATTTCCCATACATTCCTTACTCCAGTAATTTTCTTACTCTGACCATCCTTATTTCCCAGTATGTCGTGATCCTTCCTCCTATTATCCGTATTCAATACCTCCATATACGTTCTCCCATCTCTCAGACTTTGCAGTTTCTCCATTTCAAGCTGCTACAACCCATTGTCCCCTCTACCTGGCTTAATTCCTTCCTCCTGAACTCTGTTTACCTCTGTTACTTTTTTCCTACCCTTCTTGTACTTTGCAACCCCCACGGAGACTCTCTTCCCATCGATCAGTGTTCCATCAACATTCTGTATTGCTCTTCTACAACCTTCTTCCATCACATATTGCACAAAGGCAAACGTTGAAGAAGTATAATTCGGTTTAACCATAAAACTTGGAATAAAGACCCTAACTACTCTCCCATAAAGATTAAAAATCGCTCTTAACTCTGATCTGGTAAATCTCTTGCTAAGATTGTCGACAAAGACAGTCCATTCCTCATCAGAGGCTGAACGACCTGTCACACTTACGCTCTTACTCTCTCTACCTTTTTCTCTCTCCATTTTCCTCAATGGCTTTGCTGTTATGATTGGTTTATATTTGAATTTAGATAGCAACTTGAATGTAGAATTTGATATATAGGAAGTTAATTGAGTGTGCTTTTCAGTGCAGTTGATGTGAAGGATTGCATGAGGAAGATTCAAACTCTAAAATATGCAGAAGAAGCTTGCTACAATGGAACTTTGATCATAAAAGCATTCAGCTCTGGTTTGGAAATAGGGGCCTGCAATTGGACAATAAATGATCCGAAAAGAAATGTAGCTTATATTTCAAGCTCCATCTTTGTTTCAACACACACGATGGATTTTGATTTCCTTGGCCTTCGAGGGAATGATTTGATAATATATTCAGATTTCTCATCTCTGGATACCACAGGAAATATGGAGAGTGATGACACTTGCTTTGATCCAGTTACTTGTACTTCATCAAATGTTAGGTAATTCTGCTAAGTGTAATAAAATATCAATTTAGTCTTTGCTTGTGTGCCTTTTCATTTAGAAAATACAAGATATATTTCTTTAGATTGGTAGATCTGAATATATGCATCATGATTGTAGTGATGATGTCAACAATTTGGAAGAGATAGCTGCATCCTTGCTTAAGGATGATGAAAGTAGAGAGGAAATGGAGAAACTAGCTTTTATATGTACACATGCCTTCGATTCTGTTAGAGCAGGTGGGTCGGTTCTTGTTCCTATTGATCGACTTGGGATTGTTCTATGCCTTTTGGAGCAAATGTCACTTTTGTTGGAGTCTTCATCTCTAAAGGTATTACAGTTTTCTTTTCCTTTCGTTTGGATTAGCGTATGTTGGTACTTATCTACACAGATATTGGAGACATTTAGAGACAGAGCCGTACTGTCAAAAGGAACACAGTAGCTGACAGATATGAGATAAAAAGAGTGGAATCACTGTATATCAGCTGGATCCATTTTTTGTGAAAATTGTTCTTCATCATACCTAATTCTACTAACTAAAACTTAAGGTGTATTTCTCTAGCTATATGATTGATATGATTACCTTTAAACTGTGACCTTTGCCTTTGACCTTTCTAATAATTAGAAGGTGAGGTTTGGCCATGCTATAGCATAAGTTTTCACTTTTAAGACCCAAGACTTGTGTATGGGTTGTCATTTTAGTGACTAAAATCTATTTCAAGGCCATGATCTTATAGCTTAAGTTTTCTGGTTGAGCAGTTCTCTGACAGGTGAAGAAATAAAAATGTTTTAACTTGTATACTTGCTTTGAGTCACGCCACAAGCATTCATATGCTATACATTTGTCATGCAGGTTCCAGTATACATTATTTCTTCTATAGCAGAAGAATTGTTTGCATTTACCAATATAATACCAGAATGGCTCTGCAAGCAGCGACAAGAGAAGGTGAATTTAATCGGTGGTTTATTGTCTCAATGTAAATAAAGGACCTTTTCTTATTCCTCTTTTTGTTGGTGTTACAGCTTTTTTCTGGTGAGCCATTGTTTACACATGTCAAGCTCATAAAAGAGAGGAAAATTCACTTGTTTCCAGCGGTTCATTCAATTGAGTTACTGTAAGATATGCCCTTTTTGTTTCTGTTTCTGTTTGCTGCTGATTGTTATGCTTGTGAACAGAAAATGTTACCTGCGGCATGCTCATTCAATGGATCTTTGAAAGTACTTTATTTTATCTATGTTGACATTTTTACCTCCCACTAACTAATTTTTGATTGAGCACTTTTCTCTTTGTTATTTTAACCTGTTCTATCTATTCTTGTTCCAGATACCTAAAATTTAAACAGAATTTAAACTTTTCACGAGAGACAAAAAAAGATCCAACTTCTTAAAATTTGTAAAATACTGATTTTAAGTAGAGAACGACATAGCAGTAGAGGCAGCTCAGCACTTGGTCTATTTTGCATGCTAAAACGCATTTAAACTTCATACGGTAGAAGAAATCTACAAATTGCTTCATGTTGGTACAAGGATTAACTCAACACCAACTGCGTGTATTACTTAGTTTACTATGTTTAGTAAGTGATAAGGTGTAACAATTTTTCCCAAGCTGCTATAACATATGCTTAAAATTTATGTTTCTTGTTGCCCATAGAAAAGTATAAATAAAAGAGTCATGCTTTTTCTCATTGCATTCATTAGTTGTGAGAAAATAAGTCCTAATACCGTGAGGTTATCGATTACTTACCAAGATGTTCAGTGCCACAGGTATTAATACCTTTTACCAAATGACCATGCTTTACCCCTGCCCACTGCAGTTTCTCATCACATCAATTAGATGTCATTCTGAAAGAACCATGTATTAGGGAAGCAAAAACTTGTTGATAAAGCATTAAAATGTCTTTAGAACTTACTAACCCGTTTTGTATGGTTAGGGATTTGAATGGTTATCATGTATCATATAATCGTAATCACTTTAAGATGCTAACATTATGTACACAGAACCAATTGGCAGGAACCTTGTATTGTTTTCTGTCCTTACTGGAGCTTGAGACTCGGTCCAGTTGTTCATTTGCTTCAATATTGGCGCTCAGATCCAAAATCTTTACTTATCCTTGAGGTGATTCTTTGCATCTATGTTTATCAGTGCATCTTTATTATTTGTTTATGGCAGGATACAAACTTAATATGACCTTCAGAGAATGCTTTTGAGTGATGGACAAAATTTATGTGAGTTTTTCAGAGTGGTGTTGATGCTAACTTAGCACTCTTGCCTTTCAAGCCAATGGAAATGAAGGTTCTTCAATGTTCCTTTCTGTCTGGAATAAGGTAAGCTCTCTCTCTCTCCAGAGGATGCACACACAAATAGTTCGCCTAAAGTACTTTGAGCCCAAGGAAAGCCTTTTAAAACATTCGTCTCACGTGCTCCTTTTGGATTGAGATGAGAGAACTCAAGTTATATGTTCAACAGAAGCTTTGACTTGACAAAGGGGCAATTTAGTGGGCACTATTCTCGTATTTTAGGCTATGCAAGTCTATCTGAAACTATCTTGAAGAAAATGACTGAATTGTGAAGTTTGATCTATATATATGTATATATCGCATAATAGAATTCGATCTCTATCGGTGCTGATCTCCATTTCGTTCTCTGTCAAGTAAATGAAGTATTTTTTGCATCATCAATTGGGATTATCCTTTTAACAAATTTCTCTAGCTTGCCTGATGTTTGATGACAAGGAATTTATGCATTTTTACTACAAATTGTTCGTTTCTTTTTGCGGAAAAATAAATGAAAGAAAAAAGAGAGTTTGTCTCGGTATTTAGATTCTATTGCATAAATGTTTCTTTTATTCTTCCTGCAGTTTGCGGAAAGTTCAACCCTTACTGAAGGCATTGCAGCCAAAATTACTTCTGGTAATCTATTTTACTTTTATTGTATTTGTTTCTTCCACATGTGTGGGATTTTTATATATGGGACTGCACTTTGTGCTCACTTTTAATACAGTTTCCAAAGGGATTGAGGTGCAAGATCCAAATTTCAGAAGCAAACATGATTTTTCGATACTCTGAAAATGAAACATTACGTATACCAAGCTCGAAGGAGAGCACAGAAATTGATATAGCAACAGATTTGGCTTCCAAGTTCTGCTGGAAAATGTTGAAGCAGGAAACAATCACGAGGCTAGATGGAGAGCTTTTCATGGATCAGGGCAAACATCGGTTACTTTCTGGATTCCAGCCGACAGACTCCAAGCAGCAAAGACCGTTGTTACACTGGGGTTCACCGGATTTGAAAGGTCTTCTGACTGAGCTGTCCAAGATGGGCATTACTGGAACCGTAAAGAAGGTCATCGATGATGCAGAACCTGAAAATGCCGCCAGCATTATAGAAATTGTTGGTCCCAAGAAAGCCTTGATCGATGTTCGAGAGAACGGTACTGTTATCATTGCTGCCAACGATAATTTAGCCTCTCATATTTTCAAAGCTGTAGATATTGTTTTGGATGGCCTTTGAATGAAATGTAATATAGATGTTAAAGCTATACTGACATATGAGATTCGGTTTGGATATATAAAACATGCCATGCTAGTTTATGTGTCAATTCATTTACATAAACGTACGTACGCTCAAACCCACAAGTTTATATAACCTCAAGATATTTGTTATACCTTCGGATCTCTTCCGTAAGTCGTGTTTTTGCGGTTAATCCTTTGCCTATCAACGTCTTGAGAGGAATTCCTCCGATGATCATAACCTTCATAAACCCGCATCATTTTGATTAGTCATAATATTTGACTTTTGACAAGTTCACGTGATTGTTAAGAGTTAAATCTATTGTCAGACGATTATATTTATTTACTATGTCAACTTATGAGTCAATTTACGAGTAACTATAATGACCTTAGGCCTGATCTTTTCATACAAGACTTAGAGTTAAATCTATTGTTAGACGATCATATCTATTTGTTATGTTAACTTATGGGTCGATCTACAAGTAACTATAATGACCTTAGGCTTGATCTTTCATATAAGACTTAGAGGGGATTCTCTCCTTTGAAAAGAGATGGCTCATCGTCTTTGGCTCCAATTTTTATACCGATTATCGATTGTGACTCTACTTAAAAAGAAGATGAATCATCATTGACTGTTGTAACTCAAATATTATCATCAACAATATTACAAAATTTAAAATAAAATTAACCCATCACATGAAAATTCTAAACATAATACAAGAAAGTAAACATAAAATATGATACACAAATATATTGCAATCATGATAAGAATATATATATATATATATATATATATATATATATATATATATATATATATATATATAAATGATTTGTTGGATATATATATTTAAATTTAAAACGTATTCAATTTCTTACTCATAAAATAATTTATAAAATCAACTTAATCCAATATCCATAGGGACAGACGTAAAATTTTATGTTTAGGGGAGAACTTGAACTTATAAAATTTCAGGAAGGACGAACTTGAACTTATAAAATTTCAGGATGGACAAAAGCAAATTTTTAATAAAAATACATAAAAAATCTAAAATATATAATAGTTTTAAATTTTATGTGGTGATTGTTCTCACCCATCCCATCTAAATTTGTAATACCCCAACTCGTACCCGACCCAGATACAAGTCCAAGATGTTACATTAACTTTTTAAAATAATATACTTACAAAATAATAGAACATTTGGACTTATATTAAGAAAATACAATAATATACGGTTGAATATTCGTTATAACAAATTTAAGGAAAGAAACGTTTTTATGAATAGTACTATACTGTATGAATAGTACTGATACTGTGCAAATAGTATTGTGAACAATAACGAACAGTACCATTAACAATGTAACCCCCTCAGACCGATGCGGATAATCCGATCCGATCTGGAGTGTCACATTAGGGCCACCGGAGCGACCCACCGAAAAAAATAGCAGAAAATTTAAAACTTTTCTTAAAACATGTAAACTCATAAAATCATTTATGAGTACAAAATAAAATTTATCAGTATGCAGAAATAAAACAGATTTTCAGACTCATATATAAACCAAAATACAATTACATGCCCTCTAATCACATGTATTATACTCTAAAAACAACACCGGAAGAACTCTCTTATTGATGTCGATAGCTGCACTGATACAATTCTTTTAACCTGCAATGTTGAGTAATAGAGTGAGCTTCGGAAAGCTCAGTAATACAGAACTACCAAATGATGGTACATGACATGCAGATAAATGGGAAGCCATAATTTCCTTATTGAATCATACGTATACCAGTGGGCGGAATAATCTGGGGTTCCCTTAGAAGTTCATCGAGTAGAAGCCATGAATCTCAGTTCATAAGAAACCTTTCATACTATCACGTTTTCATGAGGCCGAATAGGATGTCTAGTATGTTCCATATGTATGATAAAACCATAATAGGTACACTAATCAAATGATAGTTCAGTAAAATCCCATAAATCATACTGTAGTGAAGCTTTTTAAACTCGTATTTTAAAACCATCTTACAAAGAGTTAACCTAAGGGAACATCTTAGGGCCTGAGAGCCTACCCAAGATAGATTTCGGGGCCGTGGGGCCTACCTGAGAACACATCTTAGGGCCGCAGAGCCTATCCGAGAATGATCTCAGGGCCGTAGAGCCTACCTAAGAGTCACATTAGGTCCATAAAAATTTTCTAGCTTGATCAGATATGTACTTTACAAATCTGTATCTCCAAGATACAGTTTATACAATGATACAAATCCATAAGCCATCACCGTTAAGTCGGTGCATCCATAAAATAGTAACCATAGATTTCAGTGTACCACATGTTAAAACAATAAAACAATTTTTCAAAATATAAGGAATACACTAGAGAATCCAATTATTTTTCAGATACATTTTGTAGTTATCAATATGGATAACATGAACTTGTGCAATTTGATCGGATTCCAATAATAAGATCTTATTGAAGAGAATCGATTTCTGACCGATCTAATCAGACATTTCAAATTTATACTTTTAGAATTCCACTAAGTTTCTATATGCATCAGGAAAACGTTCATGAACCTTTATACATAATAATTCTAAATTCAAATTTACTGCGAGTGATTCCATTACCCCAACAATCAGGGGTATTCAGTAATATAATTTGAATTCATAGGATTTTAGCCCAATTGAACCAAATGAGGTATTCCGAATCTTTTCATTTTGCTGTAATTGCGTTTTCAAACATGACCGAAGTGATTTTAGATGAAAATATAGAATTGAAGATTCAAGTCATTTACAATCTATGACTATCGATCGTATTATCAAACAACTTGAGTTACACAACTCCCAAACTGATGCATGTCAACCAGTCAATTCATTATCCTTCTAATGTAATCACTCTTTAATACCATAATACAGATCTATAGATCATCCCCATAAGCATCGCTGAATAGATCTCCCAACTGTCTTTATTTCATTTCCATGTTTCAACGATATCAAGAAATACGGACATACTTGATTCATGGTTCATAACCCATAAAGACAATTCATCATGTAAGTTCAACAGTATTTCCAGACTCATCCAAATCACTTATTTAATCCTCATTCATTGAGGTTATTTAGTTCATTTAACAATCATGTCTATTCTTGTTACTTCAGAGTTTTCCAGAGTAATTCAGATGTTTCTGAATTCCAAATACATATTGCATTTCCATTCAGTTCAATTTAGTCATATACTAGAGTCATTCTAGTATTCGTGGTTGATTTATCTTACAGATATCCATTACTTACTATCGAATATGCTATAGCGTTGAGTTGAGTACTTCCAAAATTATCATCAATTCAAACTTGAGGAAACGAACAAGCATTCAAGTGGTTTCTATGCCATTCAAGTATTGATACAACACTAGCATTGGTTGACCGGCTTAAGTTGTGTTCCATAATCTTTAAGAGCAGTACAACATCCATGTTTATTTGAATTTTTTAAATAAAACATAAGGGTATTTTGGTAATTTTGGTGCTCAATGATCTTCCATTAATTTCAAAGCTTGATAATATCCATTCATTCATGGCTTGGTGATATTCTTTAATCATTTCCATTACAGGGGTATTTTGGTCATGTCACAGATCTAGAATATTTCAATCATTTCCTTCAGTCCGATATTCGAACTATTCCGACAAAATATCACCATCGATAAATTATTATTCTTCATGTACTTACTCAAGTCGGAGATTTCTAGGTTAAATGCCTTCTCAGATGTTACTAACGGATTATCAGGAATTTTCCATACAAAAATAGGATCTCAACAATTCAAATCAATAATTTATCGGTTTAAAAATAAATTCTCATGTTACTTCCTCATTCAGAGTCAACTTGGACTATTTTTACCTCTCAAGGGTATTTTTGTAATTTATTAACCAAATAATTTTGGTATTAACTCTTAACAAAAATAATTATACTTTAGAGATCCAATGGTTAATTGTTTTCCCGAACATTCTTTGATCTCAAAAATATTCCTTAACAGACTTCTAGTATATTGTACAAACACTTTTGGGGTTAAAAATCAGTTATCCAAATTTTCTAAGCAAAACTAGCATTTCTTTTGCACATCTTTAATTTTATCGGATCAATATATCTTTTCAGAGTTATTAACCAACTTTCAGGAACAATTATTATCATCTTACAACGTAAGGGTATTTTCGTAATTTTACCCTACTAGAGTATTCTCATAATTTCCTATCCAAGTACCTTTAACATTTAACCTTTGATTATATGCTACAAATCCATGATAATACCTTTATCACTAATCACATAACTCATAATTTAATTTTAACAGTCCATTCATTTCTTATATTAGTCATCTTAGCCATATTCATTTACCGAATTTTTACTGTATCTGAATCGTGTGTAGAACTTCATTAATTACACATATGAGACCAAACATTTTCATTCATGCATTTACCAATACCAACATGTTCCATAAAGCATGAAAAGGTAGTAATGTATTACCTCGATTTCCGTACAATACTGATCGACCATTAAATTCCATTCGAATGCCTCGATCTTGAAATCATCTTCTAATAATTCCTCAGATGCATATAAACAGAAATTACATCAAAACAGAGCTTAATTATGAAAAACGAATCGAATCGGGTGATTAATCAGTGAAAAACAGCTTATCGGGTTTGAATTTGGCGAAACAGACCTCAAAATCGAAACATCAACAAAACCCAAAATATTAGTCTTAAATTCCAGCTCAATAACTTGATTTCTAGTTTCCAATCTTTTTCTAAAGAACACGGATAATCTATCGTACAAATATGACTTCAATAATTTTCCTCGCCATAAAAATAACTTATTATGATCTAATTAATAATTTGGGGACCCAATTGTTAAAACTAAAAATCTTGTGAAGCCACTATACTACTTATTACTAAAATCAGGGACTAAATCGAATTAATTTAAACTATTTAACTAAAGATAAAATTATGTAAATACTTATGAACAAGGTTAAGTTC